CTGATAAATCATTATAATATATTATGTATATGATGATACTAATAATTACCTAACTAAAGTCATTGCATTTTTTTTTAAATTTATTATTTTAAATATTGTTAAATATATATACCGGACTTTTTTGGCTTAGGACTTTTTTACTGCAATTCAGTCATTATAATATAGAAAATACTGTTACGCTAATATATTTTTATTTTTATTAAACTTATATTTGTAGTAATTATTAATTTAAATTAACTCGAATAAATATTGTACTACACAAAAATTAACTATCAATTTCCTTACGTCATAATCATGTCATCTAATATATCATTACATTTTAATATAATGTTTTTTCATTGTCTTTATCATTTTATCATACATTTTTTATGCAGGAACTAGGAAGTGTTTTCAGTGGGATATTAGTTTATTATGTATAGCACACCTATTTTGTCTACAGTACAATTTTATTAAATATAAATATCTTTATGAATTAGCTTTAGTAATAAAATTAGTTCTATAGTAATTTTATGGAACGTTCATCCAATCATCCGTTCATGCTGATAAATATAATTGAATATAGTTTAGGACATTATATTCTTAATAATGAATAATAATTTCAGTATTTGGCCGTTGTATCACTAACTGCTGTAGCCTTGTAAAGAAAATAATTATATTTTTTAGTTAATTATTATAATTATATTCTCTGCCTTTAGTGCTTTCTCCCTCTGTCTATCTCTGTCTCTCTCGCACACGCCGTTTCCATACGAACATATATTCCACGACTATTATTGACTATACATTACACGTGCGCTCTAGTTCACGCACTCGCACGCACACTACGTATAGTCGCATGTACACGTGCAACACACTCACAATGTATTGTATTACAAGAAGACACAAAGCCGGCCGACGCTGTTGCTAGAATTCCAAGGCCACCCATCCAAAATGCGTTGTTGTTAAAATGTAACGATTGGTATAGTAACCCCCCGGACTCTTCTACACTCCTCGTGAACCCTCATAAAGACCCATGTACTGCGTGTTTCGGCAGCTGCGTGACCCGGCGGCAGGTGCGCCGTGCTGTTGCAGCTGCTTAGGTATGAAAAAAAATATTTTTTTTTCTCATAAGATCGACGATATTAACACTTAATATTTTTGAAATTCTTCCCACGGTTTAAGTTGGGTTAGGTTATTTCCCACGATTTTTTGATTCGACTTGTATCTTTTAAATTACAATAGGCACTTTTCCACAACCATATCTTACATGACGTCATGACTGTACGGGATTATTAGATCGTATATTAATGTAACGATAAAGTCCGATTATTCGTTATTGGTTTCAATAGGCTCTTGGCAGTTTACAGAAAGTAAACGAATCTGGAGGTCTAATCGTCCGACGTCCGCCGTCTTCATGGGAACGCGGCATGTTATACCATACCCGTAATAGCTGGAATTTGTTTTTGTCTAGTATCGTGATTCGTGGCTAATGACGACGAATGTACTTTGTATTATTGTTATTTGAGATTATTGAAACCGAACTAAATATTATGTTTCTTCTTTATTTTAGTTGTATATGTTTTACGTTAGGTTAGATAGGTCTTATTTAAGAACGATATTAACACTATACATTTTCCCGACGCAATTACTACTTATGATTAGATAAAATAAATTGAAAATAATTGGATCAGTGCATTGTGCATGGGCATGACGTATGAAGATTGAAATTCAGTTGTATTACTTGTATTGTAATATCCAATATTGGAAAATAATTGAAACTCTTAAAAATTATTTTAAGTTGTCGGTAATTTTGAATTAGTTAATTAAATAATGTTTTTGATATTATCATTGTTTGCCCAATAGCCGAAACTATATAATATACCCATAGGCGTGCCACAACGATAACATACCCATAACGTGTGGTGCTTTCGCTGCATCTAACCATTTATTTAAAATGCTGATATCATAATATTATATACCTTACTAGTTGTGCACTTCGTTGCCCGTAAAGAATGCCACCTTTATTTTTAAGTTTAAATAAATTCGTATTTGTTTTAAAATATAATTTCTTCATTCAAAATCATTAACGTGATGATTTTATGAATACTTTTTAATTTATATATTATATAATTATAATAATATGTATAATTTCAAAAAATATATTAAATTTAAAAGATAAATGTCTAATGTCGGTTGAATAAAAATTATGAAATGATTTATCTAGATGCAGAAAAAACTTGTACATTGAACATATGCGGGCACATAACCATGTAAATAATTCTATTTGACAGTCGATAACCGATAAATTACGGTACTGAGTACATTATAAATTATAATAGCCTGATACTCTATTATATAATCGAAAGATACGGGTGCATCATTTTTACTTCACACATCATAATGAAGGAAATAATTGGGTTGCTATTATTGTTCTGTCGCACCGAAGAATGTGTGCTGCATCCAACTTATAAATCCTGCGTATTCTTATGTATACATCATATTTTGTATTCAGCCTCTGAACTGTCCGAATTACAATATATATACAAGAATTTTCTGGTCTACAGAAAATGAAAATAGCAGTTCACAAAAAGTTGGTAATCTAGACAAGGGAAATTAACTAACTATAATATTCGCGAATCTCAAGATTTGAAATTTAAATGGAGACTATATTATGTGTCGCTGCCCTTCGAATATTTTTTTTTGAATTGGCCACCTGTAAGCTGCTGAAAATGAAATATGTTGGTATTTGTAAAATTGAACACGATCAATATTCAGCTCTCAAGTTAACATGCCGGTCGTATAAAATCGAAAGCCACCCTTGCGAAATATTCTCCCCCTCGGTAGTTGCCTTTGTTTTCTCTCTTTGTTATGTGCGCAACACGTTGACGCGTTTTCACTTTCACTCGTATTATTCCAGGATGACATCACTCCACGCATAAACATCGTGGGTGGCAAAGGCCAAGTAGGCAACAGCGTGTAGTATTGATTATTTGGTTGCTAGGAAACACCCTATTTTCGGCGGTTACCCGCCACCACGTCCCGTGGATATATAATACAACAGGATAGCCAATTTCGCTTCATGTTAAAGTCGATAAAATACAGATTTTGAAATGTCACATGAAAATAACCAAAATAATTAAAAAATTGTATTTTGTAATATACTTATTGCTATTTGGATCTATATCAATGACAACATTGTAAACATGGGTATTTTTTTATGAGAAAAATCGGCCATTTATTGACTTTAAAATATTACACATTAAATTATTGTAGATACACCAACTCGGCTATCCAGTGAAAAGTTATACTTATTAATTTTTATGTATCTGAGCCCGTGGCACATACTCTTTTCATATCTCGCCCGCACCTGTAGGCTGTACAATAAATTATGTTTAATATATAACAAGTTTTTATTCTCATCGCATGGGTTTTGAATTTCTGACGCCCTCTTAGCCCCTAATGTCAATTTGGTATAAATAATAGGTATAAACATTTAAATATTTTATGTTCAGTCAAGCAGAACGGCGGTTTATAAAAAACAGAATACACTTATCTATAAAATAATAATAAGCATATTTATCAATATATTTTATGCATGGATATTAATTTTTAAATTAGCCATTGCCCATTATATTATACTTAATCATACATAATTACATTTCATAGTGATGTATAGCCGCTATGTACATGCAGCTGTGTCTTAGATATAATATATCTCAACTTAACCAAATAGCTGTCATTTAAATTAGAAAATTGTTTATTTAAGACTTATCGATTGTATACTGTATTTACTACTTTATAATATATTGCATATCTATAGTTATAGATTATAATAGTTTTATATTTATGAATACATACTACAGTATACTATGTACTGTTTGAGTTGTATATAATTTGTTTGATAGGTAATAGGTATTAATTACTGGCTTATTATTTTCACAATGTGCTATAGTTATTATTTATTTGTACTTATAATTATGATGCATAAATCTAAATAAATAATATATTATTCCTCAACCATCATGAAATATAAATAATTAAAAACAATATAAAAACTTTTCGTGTTGAACAATATATTCAATCGATTTATTAAAATACAAATACTTAATAATAATAATAATAAATAATTAATAATATTTTAAATATAAAACATAGATTATCAATCTATTGACTTCATTTACAATTACATAAGTACTACATTATAAAAGATAATTAGAGGACTGAATTAAAACCTGTGTGCATTGAAATATACAATTATATGAAAATTAATAAGAGGTAGCAGATATAAGTATGAATTGTATAAGTAGCTCATCTAAATTAATCCAATTGTCAAATAGTAAAACTATTGTTTATTTGTATTCATATTCGTATCCCGCGAGGATTTACATATTTTAAATAAAATGCTGACGTTTCAACATTTTATTTTCATTTATCTCCAAAAACGTCAATATTTTCAGAAAAATGAACTCTACAAATGGATATCTACAATTTTTTTAAAATATATTTCTTAGCTTTTTTACTAAATCATTCAAATTAATTAAAACGTGAAATATTTGTAGTTGTTGTCTCTGTGAGTCTTATTAGAAAACCAGAATTATGATATCTCCATTATTTCAGAAGATATCGCAATGAGTAAATCCTTAAAGGACACTATATATTAAGTTTATTCTTATTTTGCCTGTAAACCAAAAGGTTTAAAATACTAAAATAAAGCATTTAATTTAAAAAAATCATGTACACGACTGCACAAGTTGTAACAATAATCGAAAAATTAAAATTCTTTAAAGCAGCATTTTATTTACAATCACACTAATATTAATGATACTAATCTACAAGTATAATAATGTGCGAAATACTATTTATCGGACCTTATAAATTGTATAGTATATTATAGTTTTTGCTATTTTATTAACTGAATAGCTAGGTATAAAAAATATATATATTTTTAAAAATATTTCTCATTTGATAATTATGTAACATAAATATTAGTAAAACAAAACTGATTTATTTAATGTTATTTGCAGTTTCTTTGTGAACCAAATGATATGCCTAAAGTACGGACCAATCTAGAAAAATATAAGTACGACATAGTACACGCCGAAGAGGAACACTTGGCCTTACAAAAAGTATCATTGAGCGATATAGAATACGAACATTTAGCAAAATTTATTAATAACGTCCAAGGATTACCTGATGTCATCCAAGTTTATGATAATGTGAATTAATGCAATGATGTAAAATTGTTGATTGTCAAGTATAATATAATCTTTTGTTAATAAATGTTATTAATTTATGTGGTGATTTTTTTTTTTAACTTAACTGTTACCTTATAATTTATATTCAGACAAGTATTGGGTTCTGAACGGAACAAGTTATATGACGCATATTGTAATACTATATAATATTATGACGTAAAATGTTTTTATTTTTTTTTATTTTGTCTGTTATCGTTTTATGCACAAGAGTCTAGAATGAGTGATCTACATGTTTCTTATCTAATAATTTTAAAATATGTGTAGTTGGTTCTTTATAAAAAGGTCAACTTGAAATGTTATCGTTTTATTAGATACCTATACGCTCTAAGAAAAGCCATCAACACATTTCGGACAGTGAAAACATGTATATAATATTATCATTATTAAAATTAATTTAAAAAAAACTGAATACAATAATTATTTATTGTTAAGTTATGCATGCAACAAAAGTTATGAAAATACAACACGTAAAATATATTGACATAATGATATGCATTTTTAAAATATATACAAGGTTTTCTTTTAGTTTTATTGTTATATGCTATAGATGAACTTATACTTTACAATTTACAGTTATTACGATTCGACACAAATACACTGCACTTGTGCTATAACAAATACTAGATGAATTTACTAGCTATGTAATTATTCTTAAAATTATCTATGTTGTCACAATTTCCTATCCCTTAAGAAGAATTGAAAATTGACTAACTCACACCATTAATAATCGTACACATAATATATAGACTATAATAATTAATAGTTGTGTTAGGTACAGTTTTCCAGCGTCATCTAACGTCAACTATACTAACCCGCAATATATTATGGTCGGCCTCTTGACGTGTGACGCCACCGTGCGTTTCCACTGTCCGACGCTGGAAAGAAAACGTTCCTCATCATATAAATTGTTATAAGACGTCGGATATAATTATATGTTATTATATTTTACTCAATTTTAGTTTGTTGTTGCCATTTTGACAATTAGAGGCATGCGCGATCTGAATTTCAGGTGTCGCCTCCAGATTTTTTAGACTCTTTTAGCAAGACAACTTAGACAAGTAACGTAAATTGCTTATTATCATGTATGAATGCATAGGTTAATTATAATATTTATCTATATTATTAATTTATTTTTAATTTAAGGAATTTTTTTACAATGTATAATGAATATAGGTATATTAGAAGCGGATCCAGAAATGTTTCACGGAGGAGGTGCAAAATCGTCCTTGACTTACGACTCGGCTGCCTAAATTGTTACATAATAAGTAAAAGCAACAAAAAAAAACTTAAAAACAGTTTTATTAATGACAATTGACAACACAAATAGTACGACACGAGTACTGAGTACGATGGTACGTAGTATGAGAACGTAATTCGTAAAATCATTAACATAGTACGTCTAGTCCATGCACAGTGCACCCACGACACATTGCACACTAATGCAATGTTGAATGCACTATAACGAAAATCGTGTACAGCGATTGACAATCGACGGATGGTTTTCAATTATTGTTTATTTGTATAATGTTCTCTTTCTCAGAAGTGTCAGTGACGGTCGACGACGATAAGCCATAACGATAATTATATTAATTTATACCGATACAATAATAATGTTACTTGGTTTCGGGTTTCATCTATTTTAGCGAAACTATGTGTTTCTCAGTAAATATTATAGGTTAGGTAGGTTATATTATTGTCAACGTCAATCGACACAGTAACTGATAAAAATATACATTTAAACCACGAATTTTATTATATAATGTATGAGATATCTTAATTTGCGGTTTAAGCACAGAGTTATAGATGTATTAAACATATTTTATTTTCATGATTTAATTTTAAGAAATATTAATTAAACCATTACGATGATCGATGGCGGAACGCAATATAACTATAACACTGTAACAAGCTTACATACTAGCCACTACACAATAAATATAAGATTATATTATTTTATTTTCATAATTTTATAATAGATACTCTCTTTAGAAGTTGCAAAGAATTTCGAAAATAATCGAAAAACCTTCGCCTCCCTTTAGATCCGGGCTTGAGGTATATAACATAATATAATGTACACAATACACATGCCAATGGTTAATGACAAACGCATTTATTATTTAAACTATTGAATTCGTTTATAAGTTATTACTAAATATAAATATTCTAGATCAACAATTGTTTACTTCTTGTTATTCTGTAAATAGAAGAATTAAGGATTAAAATGGTTTTGGGTCTTGGTACTTTTTCTATGATGTTAACGCTGTGTCCTAAGCGACCGGGGCGAAAAACAGAATTACGTCGCATCTGCTGCATCGTAGTGCGGCGAACATCAAATAAGAATAAACATCGCACGCACTCGTCGTACTACTCACGTGTAACACTGCGTTACACTTGGTACAGTAGTCTCGCTAATCCGGGGACAGGACTAAACGAAATTACGTTTTTTTCAACTTACTAATAAATGTAAACAAAAAAACACAAATGTATTTGTACAAATTCAAAATTTATTGATTTACAATTTTACATTACACATTATTATTGTTATTATTATGATATATGTACTACATAATATGTACATAATATATCAATATAAATTTAAAGATAATACGAATGAACTCGCTTGAAAAAATAATACTAACACAATACATATGTTATCGAAACGATCATATTATCTTAATCATGGGTATTCCCGAATATAAACATTATACACGAGTACTATAATAGTACCGAAGTTACTTAATTTACTATTTAGTTACGAAATATAGATTGTCCGGATTATCCGAGCAAGCGATCGATCAGCGAGATTCTACTGTACATACAAATGTAAAATGTTGTACCTATATCGGTGTATTTATTATATTGGATTATTTAATAATAAAGGTCCCCACACACTGCAGCAGTGGCGGTAAAATTCTTTTGTCTTGGCGGTGCCGCCGTGGTGGCGGTAAATTGTGTCCAGACACATTTTACCGCCACCGCCACCGCGGCAGTGTGTGGGGACCTTAAGGTGGAATGATTTTACAATTCATTTTTCTTTATCACATAGTTTAGAATAATTTGTAATTTATTTCGTACCAAAAATTAGTAACATTGAAGATAAAATGCAGACTCCTGACTCAGAGGCATTGGCGTGTGCAATGGCGCCGATCTCATGTATCTATTGCTTCACTTTTTAAGTTTGGATGACCGGGAAGTTGATATGGGTGGATGGTTGAATAAACATTTTAGATTTCGGTTCACAAGCAATTTGAGAGTTCAGCGCCACTGCTCCTGGGCTCGACTTTAAAGGCTTAAATCATAAAACGAAAATTACGTGTCCTCGCATAAGCACTTTTATAAATAGGAATATTGAAATATTTAAACTATAACTGACGAGTGGAGTATGTCGATATAAATACATCACCGTTCGCCAGATTCAACAAGTTAATTAATATACGCTTCCTCCAACTACGAATTGTTTAAATAATATAGGTGTATTAGGCTATTAGCTTACAATACACAAGATAAGTGTAGGGATACCCAAATATATTATAATATACATACTGTACATCAGCGGTTCTTAACCTTTTGTAGAACACGGACCCCCGATGAAATATTTTTAGAAATCGCGGACCCCCCTACCAATTTTTTGTCGAATACCTTTTTTTACAAAACATATCAAGTTATCATAGGTAACCAAAATTATAATAACTATTTTATATTAAAAATTATAGAAGTTAGAAACTAAATTTTTCATTTTAAACTTTAACATCATTAAACACTTAAATTTAAAAAAAATTATATTTATAAATTATTTTATAACGGCCCGCCGAGACAGACAATGTAAGATTATAATTTTATATGAAACAAAAATAATAATCCAAAAATATTGTAATAATGCACTCATGTCACGTATTAACTATTATATGTTAAGTGGTAAGGTTGCTGCGGACTAGTGACATGAGTATTGCGGACCCCCAGGGGGGCGCGGACCACAGATTAAGAACCGCTGCTGTACATTATATATTGTCACGACATTACCAGCAATCAATGTTGGTCAATACTCAATATGCTTGCATAGTTTCATTACTCATCGGTCATCACCAATAGTACCTAATTAATGATTATGAAAATGGTAAAATATAATTATAATTATAATAATAATAATAATAATAATAATAAAACAATATGCATAGGTACTCAATATTATTAAATTAATATTTTTCATGCAATTTAAAAAAAAATCTATAATGTTTGATAGTGTAAACTGACACAACAACAAATATTTAATAGTGTTATAACTTATAAGTTATTGCTATGCGACTGTGTGAGAGGGACTCGTTCTCTCCGTCCACCCATATTTACCTTATTTTGCGTTCGAAAAATGTCAGAACTACAACCCTTCCCCCTTCATCTAACTAAAAGGCTTAAATTCTATATAGTTTCACTTGTGATCATCTCAATTTCAAAACACTGTGGCTATAAATACCGTTTCTGATAAATTATGTTGTGTATAATATACTCTGATAAATATTGTTCATCATGACGTTGTGCTAAAAATCTCACAAAATCACCATAGAAATGCTTTTGGTTGATTAAGATCATAGGCGTGTCTACGGTGAAAGCCTATGGTGCCTGTGATACCCCTGTAGTTTTCAAAAGTCGCCACTCGCCGATCAACCGAGTTTTAAGTCTAAAGATGTGTAATAACTTTTATTTAAAAAAAATGTCTTTTGTGTTTTATAATTATACTATTTACGTATACAAAATTATCATTTATGTTCCGAACTTCGGAAAGACCTATATACTATAAAGACTTGAGACAGATGACGGTATGGTCCACATAATCTTTTATTGGATATTTTATTATTGTTGTGTTATTTTTTTGATTTGTAGCTAGGTGGTGTAATTCTGTAAGGCTATAAATGAATAATATTTTTGGAGTTTAATTTTATCTCTAAAATGTATTGCAAGTACTGTAGATTATTAGGTAATTGTAAATAGATAATTCAGATTTTTTTTTAATGATATAAATATTTCACTGGTTAGCTTGAGTGGG